AATTTTTTACATCTCCCTCTTCCTCATCCTCGCTATCCTCCGGACTCCTCTCCCACTGGTGAAACCCAGGGGGCGAGTCGCATTCGAACAACCGTAAGTGTTGAATTCCCAGTCGTTGTTAAGTAAATTGGGTCCCAACCGGTTTCTTATTTCGCTGCCACTGTCTTACTCGCTGCCCCCTTACCCAACATCCCTGGATCCTCACGGGACAATCCCCGGCATCCCAACAACTCCGAAAATCCCTTCCAAATAAAACGCGAAAAAAAAAATGCCGGATAATTCACCTCAATTTAATGAAAATAAAACTCTATGGGATAGAATCATTAAAACGTAGATGCAACGATCGGTAAACAAATGTGATTGTGCGCATCTTGGGGAAATGCCTGAATTTTCAGGATGCCCCAGGTTACAGTCACCCGAAGATCTCATCGTCCGATACCACCCCGACGTTTTTTGTCAATTTATAAGGATTTATACTGTCTGTCCAACACACCCCTGTTCTCGTACCCTCCCCCCACCCCAGACCAACCTCGAATAATTAATAAGCAGGTGTAACATCCAAGCAATTACTGCATTCCCATGATGATCCCTATTCCTCAAAGAATGAAGCAGTTTGTCGGGAATTACAAGACGTGGAAAATTAGCCGAGGGGTTGCGCAGTGCATGGAAAATCGGGGATTCCCCTGCGCAAGCGTCCCAGTGATTTTCCCCGTCAATATAAATTCCCTGTGGCCCGATAAAAAACAATCAATTCTATTTAGTGAACAATAAAAAAGAAAAATACAGAGAGGAGTTTTTTTTTTTTTTTTTGATTTAGCGGGCTGAAAGGCCGTGGAATAGACCTAATATCGTCGCCATTATCGGTATACCGTCGGCAACTTTTCATTGTTCAACGTTGAGACGTGCGACGCACTCATTGTTTAATTAAACTACTCTGCTGCTGCGCATTATTCAAATGGGACAACCCCCGGTCGGTGGGTAGAGTCTACCCCCACGATAAGTAGAAACACCAGGGTCTATCAAGAATACCTCTACCTCTCGCCTCCTCTTTTGTTAACCGCAACATTGGCTGTTACCATGAGTTTGGTAGTGAGCGCAGGCGTTACTTCCTCGTCCACTTTATGTCATGTATTACCGCACACCGTTAACACGTATTTCTGTGCTATTCCCTTGACGTTTCGAATAAGTATACAAATGTACACTCGTGATAACCACGTTAATTACTGGAGTACAGTATTAATTTCCGTTGAGCATTCGAAAACCTTTAACGATCACGGAATTAATGGGTAGTACAACGCAGCAACAGCTCATGTCATTCAAAAAATTATACCCCAACTTATCGCTGTTTGACGAGTTGAATGTAAAAAATTATTTAAAAAATGGGTAATAGTCGGGAATGATTTATCACTCGATAATGGATGTAAGCCGAAAGAGGACATGGAGATATGAAGATATGCAGATATATACACATGAGATAACAGACCGAGGTGCCCTAATTCCCTCGATCGTCAAAGACCCAGTGGCAGTGCCGATGTG